CTGATCATTTATGTATACATTTGTCTATATCTATCTCGATTCGTTTTGGCTGTTACAAACAACCGTTATGTGAACAAAATTAATATACCCTTGTGCACAAGTGCGCTCGGGTATAAAAAAAGCGCCTATATGTTTTAAGTTTTTACCATACAATCATTGATGTAGTTTTCTGTTGAAAATTTGTGACACTGGAGCAGCAGGAACTGAATACTTAATTTTGCACATATAATTATTTACTATTCAATATTAACTATTGTTTGTGATAATGGTAATTAAAATTCTAAAGGAACATCAATTTAACATATGAAAATACTTATAAACTAAAGGCTATTCTAATCGCATACAGCAAAAAGTTTTACTCTTCTTTAATAGAGCTAAAATGAGGAAAAACATATCGTCACTACACACGAATAAAGGCGCGCTAGTGTTTTGACGGCGAAAAAAGGCGCGTAAAAAAATTTTTCGAAAAAATATGCTTATGAAAAACTTCGGAGAAGAAGTTAAGAGTCCTTGATGCCGAAGTTTTTTTATGCGTCTTTTTTCGCCGTCAACTTATGAGCTCGCGCCTTTATTCGTGTCTAGTGACGATATTGCACATATAATTATTTTAGTGGGATATGTATATTTAATACTGTATCGTATTTATTTATTACGGAAATGAGTTATATTTGTAGGGTATACATACAATGTTGCCGATATCCTGGCCAGTTTCCGTGGTATTAGCTTTTTTCATGACGACTGTTCACATTATCTACCGCATTGCGACCAGCGAGGAATATACACCCAGTTTGCCGTTGGTAAGTAATACGAAACAATAGGGCTGTTCAGGATGTTGTGGAAATGGTCTTGGATTTGAAGTTGGAATTGCATTTGCAAATTTTATGCTTGCTGCCATGGCAACCGTGTGAATTTTTTTGTTATGAACAGATCCTGAACAAATCTAATAATTTGTATTTTAATGAAATATCGGTTTTATATACATACGTATGTATACACATATGTATGTTCGGATGTGGCCTATAATAAATGTTCTAAATCCATCATACGACGAGCTAAGCTTTGCGCGTACTTGTCCACTCCTTGCTCCAAAAAGTCCTTCTCATTTTTTTTTTTAGTTTTGTGATGTGCTCCAATACTTAGTTTTTTTACATTTCCACTGCAAGTTTTTTACTGTTGAGGATCGCCTGTAACTTTGCCTATTAACACTTTAAATCCGGCATGTGTAGCTGTAAAGTAAACTTTGGTAAATAGTAATTGCTCTGACAATAGCCAATGCTAATATAAACAACAAAAAGTCATTTCGGTGTTGTTGGATTGCAATCAATTGATTTACGAGTGCGCAAAGGGAAGATGCAATGATTACAAAGTAGGGGTATTCTCCAAATCTTGCAAAGCCATTGCACGTAGCACGGATTGATGGATTGCATGGATTGCATAACTTGCAAACGCACAACAACAAAATACATGGGAAACAACACTCCCTATCGCTGCAAAGTGTGCAAGGTCGAAACCCATGTATATATTTTGCAAAATAGCATAGCAAGATAAATGCAAGCCTGTGCTAGTTGTTTTGTTGTTGGAATCGCTACATATTTCTCTCATTCCTATCATCTCGCTCACTTCATTTTTTTTTTGCTGTCTCTTGTTATTGTATTTGATACATAATTTCGCTGCTTGCTACCCATGCACGCTTCCTCTTTGCAATGGGTTGCTCTCGTACTCTTCGAAATTTGGAATAGTATTTTTGCATTTCGAGCAATCCGTGCATCATCGTGCAAAACTTCGAGAATACCCCTAGTATGTTTCACAGTTGTCGCACAATACCTTTTCGACCATATACTCGTATCTACCAAGCGAACTACCAGCTGGCAGACTAAAACTCCTCGCATTATTATGACAAGTTGCATACCTACTAAGGTGACGACTAGAAAACATACATGCTTCCTACTCGAACAATAAAAGTGGGTGGCTTCGGGCTGAAATAATATTGAACGTCGAGAATGCATTTTTCTTCTCATGGCACACACACACAACTAAATAAACTGATGTTTGACCATTTTTCAATTTGTTTCGGCATTACTGTACGCACCCAACACTTTAAGATAGTTAGTTTGCACTTCACTTCACTTACCCCTTTCGTTGCAGCTCTTCGGGGAAATTATCATGTTGGCCTCCGCATCTGTTTCTGGTCTTTACTATCGCATTATGTCAGATGCAGCACACAACCGCACTGTGGACGGTACACGTACAGGAATCGAGCAACGCGTCAAGCTAGAGTGTGAACGAGAGCAACAAGAGCAGCTTTTGTTAAGCGTCATTCCCGCTTACATAGCGGCAGAGGTCAGTGAGTAAAATCCATAGCGACGCAATAATTGAAATTTTTCATAACGGCATGATTTTTGAATATTAACTTGCGGTTGAAATAATGCGTATTTTTATTATTTTTTACTTTACTTTTATCTGCCGACGCAAGTGCAGGTGAAGCGTAGTATTATGCTCAAGATGGCTGATGCCTGCCAACGCGCTGGTGGTCAGACTACTACATCTGCTACACGTTTTCACGAATTGCACGTGCAGCGCCATAACAATGTGTCAATTTTGTATGCGGACATTGTGAATTTCACCCCACTTTCTGAGCAACTTTCTGCTAGTGATTTGGTGAAGACGCTGAACGACCTCTTCGGACGTTTTGATCAGATTGCAGGGGTAAGTAAGTTAACACAAAACCGGGTAAGGAAAAATTAAAAAAAAAAAAACAGACTTGTTTTACTGATATTCAATCGATCGTTTCGAACCAAAGAAGAATTAATTTCCAAGTTAAATAATAACGATTTTTTTTTCATTCCTTGTGAAACGGCTGTAGGCCTATTCAGATAAAAATAAAATCCCTTTAAAATACCAAACTACTTCTATTTATGCACAGCGTTGATTATTTAGTCTTAATGTTTAAAAATGTTTGTAAAGAGTAGTCTGTTTGTTATGGTCTCATGAGTTCATGTACATACCTTTTATTCAGTATATGTATACGTACATTAGGGTGGTCCTTAAAAAAAATTTGGTCCCGATTGCAGACGGTTAAGGCGTGTCAAAATGGGGGCAAAATTCAGATTCCTCTATAGAGACTCAAAATATTAAAATTAATTTTTTTCTTGTAAAATCCAAAATTGATACCACCATAGTCGAAGATATCACATATAAATTTTGATCCCCATTGCAGTCGGTTAAGACGTTTTCATAGGGTAATCTGAAGTTTGACCCCTGTGCGACACGCCTTAACCGACTCCAATTGGGAGCAAAATTTATCACCCCTATTCTGCAATGTAGAAGTGGTATGCTGCAATCCTTATCGTATCTTCGAACTTAAAAAATTCGTAACAATGGCATGCCTAAAAACGAACGAGTAAGAAATTGACAGCTTTTTTTGCGTAATTTTGTACAAAAACACTTCTGTGTCGGAAGCGAGATAAAAATTAAGCAAAAAGATGTAAATCGATGTGTGTTTGCAGCAATTCTGTGTCGGAAGCGAGATAAAAATTAAGCAAAAAGATGTAAATCGATGTGTGTTTGCAGCAATTCTGTGTCGGAAGCGAGATAAAAATTAAGCAAAAAGATGTAAATCGATGTGTGTTTGCAGCAAATATTAGTGGTGTTCTTTTAGACAGATAAAATTGCCCTTATCGAGAAACTTGGGTACGGTTTACTTATTTGTACAATGATTTTGGGTTGTTGTATCCAAACGCATCACCCGAATCTAAAAACTTTAACATACTCGTGTAGTCAATGGATTAAACTTTAATTTAAAATAAAGGCTCCGACTTTCCGAGCCCTCCGGAGTTATGTGCACAATAAATGTTGTATACCTTTCTTATTAGAAGAAGGGCTTCCGCTCTCTCAATTTTTGTTTTTTCGTAACGTAGCTACGAATTACGAATTAAGGGTGTATATGTGATATCTTCGACTATACATAGTGGCATCGACGTAGGGGTTGAGGCTTAGGAAATCTGATGTAAAAATTGGCTTCCTTCATTTAAGGATCACCCTAATGTACACATTTATCTATGTAGATGTTTGGAAATTGAAATGGGAACTTTTTTGTCATTGGGTGCGCCAGAGCTGATAACATCCTTTTATGCGGCATTACGTTGTTTATTCACAGGAAAACCAGTGCTTGCGCATTAAAATTCTTGGTGACTGCTACTACTGTGTGTCCGGACTGCCCATATCAAGGCCGCAACACGCTGCCAATTGTGTAAACATGGGCCTACAGATGATTGATGCCATAAGGTTAGTGTATGTATGCATGTATGTACATACATATCGTCGTTTAAAGTACAAAACCGCGTATCAACAAAATGCAAAATCTCGTATGTGAGGTTGCATAAATTATTTTTTAGATAGTAAAAATACTCACATTTCAAAATTGTTTTCTCTTTTATAAAGCAATCATATTTCTGGCTATTATGTTTCAGGGCGAATGGATTGAACCAATAGCTTGTGTGAGCAAATCCAATATTTGGCAACAAATGTCAGTTACGCGGTTTTGCAGAATGACGATACGCGGTTTTGTGCCTTAAACGACGATATGTGTGCTTGTGTACCTCTTCTCTGATGGTTGTGTGTGTGAATGTTTTCACATCAAAATTCATTCGCACCGATATTAAAATTTACAACCCATACCTACAGCTTGTCGTCTAAAACTATCGATGGCACTATGGATATTATCGATGGTTTTTTACTATCGTACCATAGTTTTCAATACTATCGATAGTTTTTGATAGTTTTTGTTCTTCTAACATTATTGTTTTATTGCTTATTGTCAATTTGCATATGCATTTGACACAACCTGGCAGCACCTTTCATAAAAAAAAAATATCTTTTACCAGCATTTTCAGCGGGTGCTTTGATAAGTGACAAAAAAAAAAAGATTCGTAATAAGAACTAAAGAATCATAAAATATCTGTCATTGAATAGAATAAATAGCCCTAAAAAAATCGAATTTTTATTAATTAGCAACAAGTGTTTCTGATTCGTATGAAGTTTTGCTTTGTTTTAAACACTTAAAATATTTTATTAAAAGTTTCGCAAAATTCTTGAAGAAAATTGCTATGAGAAGTTTCTTCCTCTTCTATAAAATTTCTAAAATGGACTTAGCAACTTTTGACTGTAAGCAAGCGATTTACTGATTTTGTAAGAAATATTTCTTACAAATATGCCGAAAGCAATATAAAGCCAAATTGTAAGTTTAGAAGACTATCGAAAACTATCGATAGTTATCGATGGTTTCTAAAGAACTTTCGCATCCTATCGACAGTGTCGACTATCGATAGTTTCAGACCACTACCTACAGCGCACATTTTAGACTGGTGTGCAACCGATTGAAAATTGTGTTCAAACTGCTTGTTGTGTGTGCTCTCGTGGCTTTTCAGCATAGGCTTACTTTGGCAAAATGATTTTGTTGCCACATTGTAGCCTATCTGCAATTTTGACGAAATAGAGAAGCTGCTTAAAAATCATAATTACAAATATAGAAATAGTTGTTATATATGTATATGTTACCGGCCAAATCCGATCTTAAGACAAACTAATTTTTCCTAGGTTAAACTATTTAGTTCTACCTAGATCCAATACATCCGTCCAATGCGGAAACAAGTTGGACGCAACAATTTTGTGGACTGCGTACCTGGAATCGGAGTTATGAGGGTAATTTTTTGTTTGAAGTGCTGGCAAAGGCCGACTACGCGGAAAGGAGCTCTGCGCAAAAATACTGTGGCCCCTGATCTAGTTTAGCCTAGGCAAAACTAGTTTGTTCTAAGGTCGGGTTTGGCCGGTAACATATATAACCATAGTGAACCGCATCTAGTTTTCTCGTTTAATCGTCGAACGTATTGTCTTATAAAGCTTAAAATTTTTGATAAGCCATTAAGCTATTTTGGTTTTTTGGCCCCATATGTATGTACCTATAAACAAGTTTATTTGTACGAATACTTATATCGCTCGTTTGCTGGAAGAACGTCGTAATCTTTTATTGCAATTTCCTCTTTGCTAATCAACCAGCTATGTCATAATAAAAAAGCAAATTAAAATTTTATTATAGTCTCATTTAAAATTTTGCAATTGTATTTAAAATATTCTTTAAGTTATTATTTTTGTTCAAGAGGAAACCCCCTGACTAAAAACATTAAAGTCGTGCGATATGTACAATACCTTTTCATATATAAACTATTGATTTTATTACTGAATTTAATTGTCTATGTTGTAAGGAAGTAGATAAAGCCAAAATGCACTCTTAACCAGAAGTAATAATTTTGAAGAGGGTTGCCAACTATTTGAAAATGTATGTCTATACCTCTATATATAAAACTAAGTTGCATAAAATGAACGGCGAAAAAGGTTGCTGTGGACAAATGAGTTTTGAGAGCCGAAATATGAACCGATTTCAAGTTTCTTTTTCTTTTTTAATAAAAGATAATTAAATTTCACGTCGATCTACCCGTAATTGTTTTTTAAAAAAGCTCTGGTTGTTTCTTTATTTATGTTGGAAAATGAAAGAAAAAAAGTTCACGTTTGAATGCTTCCTCTTTTTTTTGGAAAAGACTTGAAATTAATTTCAAATGTCTGCAATTCCTTACAAAAATATTCATAAACATTTTTTCATAGGATACATTTAATTAAAAAATGTATTTAATTCGTTGTCTATACTCATATATATTTTGAAAATAGATGGATAGATCAACGCGAACTTTAATTATTTTTTATTAAAAAAAAAGAAACTTCAAATCGGTTCATATTTGGGCTCTCAAAATTGATTTGTCCACAGCAACCTTTTTTGCCCCAATGTGCGCCCCATAGCTCGAGAACGGATTGTCCGATTTGAGTAGACGTTTCTCAGTTGTGTTTGTCTTTGCCCAAGGAAAAATGTTACGGAGAGAAAATCCCGATAGGTGACGCTGGGATCGACTTATTACTGAAATTCGTATTTATAGTCCGATTTCGGACATATATATATTGGTAAGAGGAAGGAAAACATCTCGAGTTATCTATACTAATATATATTTTGAAAGCCGTTTTTTTTCTGTTCGCAAAGCTCGAGAACGGCTGCACCCATTTGTTTTTTTTTTAATTTCGCACACCTACTGCAGAATTGGCAAGGATGGTTATAGACTAAAAAAAACTCGAACATGGTATAGAGATAATGTCTAATTTTAAGATGAATTTTGAGCAATAAATGACTTATGTATATAATCAATTGAATTGAACTACAAGAAAACACCTTATAGTCATTTAGTAATTTATTTAAAATTTTATTACAATTGTTTCGATGTCTCATAGACATCATCCTCAGACAGAGTCAGAATTTCAACTAAAACTAAAACAAACAAGTAAGAAAGTCTAAGTTCGGGCGGAGCCGAACATTAAATACCCGGCGCAAGTATTAAATATATGTTTTTTTCACCCTTCCGAAACCTTCCGCTAGATGGTAAGCCGAGGTGTATCAATTTTGAGTAAATTAGCGTCCTTCAATTTCGAAATATTGAAGTTTCAAGCATTTCTTAAATTTACCGTTATATGAGAATCGGCCGTTATTTTAGTCCGATTTCAATAATTTTCAACGTTTTGCTTACACGTGGCAAGTACAATAACCATACCGAGTTTGGTACAAATTGGTAGAACGGTTACCGATATACTTATATGTGATCATAAGTGGGCGGTGCCACGCCCATTTTCCAAAATTTTACCATAAACGTATTTCTTGGTAAAGAATTGTTGCAAGCATCAATTTTGAATAAATTAGCTTCAATATTTAATGATTTATCGAAGATTTTGTATTTCTCTAAATTACCGTTATATGGGATGTGGGCGTGGTTATTGTCCGATTTTAAAAAGTTTCGGCGGTTTTTTATGCTGTACCAAGGCCAACAACTGTGCCAAGTTTGGAAGAAATTGGTGCAGCGGTTACCAAGATATACACATGTAACCATAAGTGGGCGTGGCTACGCCCATTTTCCAAAAATTTATAATATTCTTATTTTTCGTCTAAAAATTATTGTAAATATCAATTTTGAGTGAATTATCTTCAGTAGTTACTAAAATATCGCAGTTTTCGTATTTCTGAAAATTACCGTTATATGGGAAGTAGGCGTGGTTATTGAGCGATTTTAAAAATTTTCGGCCATTTGGTATGTTATGCGAAGGCCAACAACTGTGCCAAGTTTGGAAGAAATTGGTGCAGCGGTTACCAAGATATACACATGTAACCATAAGTGGGCGTGGCTACGCCCATTTTCCAAAAATTTATAATATTCTTATTTTTCGTCTAAAAATTATTGTAAATATCAATTTTGAGTGAATTATCTTCAGTAGTTACTAAAATATCGCAGTTTTCGTATTTCTGGAAATTACCGTTATATGGGAAGTGGGCGTGGTTAAAGTCCGATTTCGCCCATTTTCAATACCAACCTACCTTGGATTAAGGGAAACCTACATACCAAATTTCGTTGAGATATCTCAATTTTTGCTCGAGTTATCGTGTACACGGACAGACGGACAGACGGACAGACGGACAGACGGACGGACAGACAGACATGGCTTAATCGATTTCTTTTTTCATCCTGATCATTTATGTATACATTTGTCTATATCTATCTCGATTCGTTTTGGCTGTTACAAACAACCGTTATGTGAACAAAATTAATATACCCTTGTGCACAAGTGCGCTCGGGTATAAAAATGTGATGTGAAAGCGTAAAATGGAAGAACGAAAAAGCGTTGACCAATACATACATAAATACAATACTAGTTTACTTCAAAATCAAGAAGAGTGAATAGAGAAGAGAAATGTGGACCTACGTCGCGATTTACATTGTTTTTCCTATGTAAATAAATGTGCATAGACTCTAAAATGTTTAAGCGGTTGCGATTTAATTCAGAGGCGATTAGTTTAAAGTTATTTTCATTGATTTTATGCTTTTCCAACAAAATATGTTCTGCCAAGCCACTTTTATTTGGTTCGATATTTTTTATACTATTTAAATGTTCTTTTAATCTAATTTTTAAACACCGGCAAGTTTGACCTATATAGACACAATGACAAGAATCACAATTAGCTATATAGACACCTAGTTTTTCAATGCTAACGCATTTATCTTTTGTAGAACACAACAAAGATTTTAATTTCGTATTACTTTTTGGAGCTAACAAAATATTTTCTTTCTTTAAAATATTTGAAAAACTAAATTATTGGAATTGTACAACATAGAACAACGTTTTAAATCATTTTTCTTTTCAAAAAACGAAGATACAAGACTTTTTGATTTACGTTTTGAATATTTATCAATTAAACGATCTATGGTTGACGTGGTGTAGCCATTAAGATTTGCGATACGAACGATTGTGTTTCGTTCCGCAACGAACTTCTCTGTTGACAATGGGATGTTTACGAGGCGATGTATCATAGAGTTGAACGCTGCATGCTTGTGGGAGTGATGGTGATTTGACTCGATTGGAATATATCTATCTGTCGTTGTGCTCTTACGAAAAATATCAAATACAATATTGTTGTCACTATCCCGTTCAATTAGTATATCGAGAAACGGGAGCTTTCTGTCTACCTCTCTCTCGCAAGTAAATTGTATCTCATTACAAATTGAGTTGAACATTTGCAAAGTGTCGTCAATTTTATCCGTAGCAACAACTGCGAAGCAGTCGTCAACATATCGATGGTATATGTGCGGGAATAATGCGCTATCCAAAAGGTTTTGTTCAACGGTTACCATAAATAAATTACATAAAAATTGACTTAATACGTGACCCATCGGAAGACCATCCTTTTGCCAATAAAATATTTCACGAAATTGGAAATAAGACTGTTCTATGCTCATCTTCGTCAACTGCAATAATGCTTGTTTTTCCAAAGAGTTAATATTTTGGCGATCCAACCAATCCCGTAGAGCCATGAGCGCGCCTTCTCTAGGTACATTCGAAAAATAAGATTTAATGTCAAACGAAACAAGCTGTTGATTATCGCACAAACGAACACCATCCAATGCATTGACCAATTCCAACGAACTTTTGATTGAAAAGGGATCAAATTGTTTCATTTTTCTGTATTTTTCACCCAGCCATCTCGAAATAGCGGAATGCGGTGCGTTAATAATGGAGACAATCGGACGATAGTTATTACTTGGTTTGTGTAGCTTAAAAAGGCCATAAATTGAAGGTACACGGAAATGTGAAACAATCATGCGACTTTTCCAAAAAACACCAAACAACTCTGCATGATTTTTAATGGCTGTGCTCACTGCAGTTTTCATTTTGTTCAGTGGATTTCTAACTCGAACATAGTTTCCGTCATCAATCAATTTTTGCATGCCATCATCGTAGTCACTTTTGTTAATTACTTTATCAGCCTTGGTAATGTAAATGTCTTTTTTATTTAGCGATTTTACGGCTTCGTACATTTCAAGCATGATAAAAACATTACAAGGTAAAATCATTGAGAGGCAGTCTGATGTTTGCCAACATTATAATTTTAAAATTCGAACTCAAGCTCACACACACATTCTCATCTTTAATCTCAAACAACAACAATTGAGAACAATTTCATTTTTTTATTTTCAATTTTATATGATTTTAAAATGTTTGCAAACGTCAGAAAAAACTCATGGCCGACGAATTGAGAGAGTGGTTTTACCTTCTAATGTTTTTATCATGATTTCAAGTGTATCTTTTGATGGTTTGCAGGTTGCTCTCAATGGTAAACTTTGTTTGAGATTCTCACGCAATGTATCGCCTTTTTGAAAGCAATGGCATACTCATGGAGATATGTGGGACTATTTGAAAATGGGGCGTTATGTGTGTTTGAGGGGGCCTGTGGATATTTTTAGTTCACAATTTGACCCGCCAGGTGGAGCTGAAGTCGAGTTATTACAAAAAATTTTATGCATGATCCGATTTCGTTTATATTCGAAACATGTATTGATATCGTAAAGGAAAATATTGCCATGAAAAAATGTATCCGCCAAGTGGCTCAGGAGTCGAGTTATTACTAAAAATTCGTATTTATGATGCGATTTGGCTCATATTCGGGATATGTATTGGTAATGGTAAGAGCAATACTTTCACAAAAATGAGCCGGCAGGTGGCGCTGGGGTCGAGTTATTACTGAAAAACGTCCAGTGAGAGAAAGTGTCGTGAATGTACCATTACATCGACCGGCTGCACCACTGAGTTTGTCGAACTGCTGTGTTTTCCGACTGGCCCAATGGATAGGATTTTCCAATATTACTCGGCGTTAAAGCTTCATTCGGAGACACCAGGATTGAGTTGCCCAGGAGTCAATCTCAATTGACCTCCGTTAAATCAACCACCAGAACTATTGCGCTCCTTGATAAGGCATTTAAGATATTTCGTCTGAAATAAGTCTATGTATAAATATTGGATTTCACCATCGAACCGGATCATCATTGCCGCCAGGGAGTGAAGAGGAAAAAATTATTCAAATTTATTTCGCTGTACGATTAATCGCGATGTGAAACGCCAGATCATTGGGCGGAAATTCCAAGAACTTTTTCGTGGGCATTACACTTTCGTTGGGTTATTCAAAACTGCCTGGGAAGTATGCCTACCGACCACCAAACCATAATATTAGCATATAAATCGTGACAGTGAATTGTTGGTGAAAATCTTGCACCAAATTGTTTCAATAAAAAAATTTATTTAAGCGGGACGAAGTTCGCCGGGTCTGCTAGTAATATTTAATTGCTGGTATCAAACAGAAATCCCTTTGAGCAAGGAAATAACAATACCCAATTTCGGATAAGTGTACACTTCCGCTCAACTATAGTCCGTTATGTACTTACATATGTACATGCATCTGTACATATTTATGTATATACATATATACATATGTACAGATAATTTCAGTTTCGCGCGCTGGCTAGGTTTCGAGTGCTGTTGTTTTTGATGTACAACAGATTTAATTCATAACCAAAAGTAAACATGTGCATACATACATACATATAAATATATTTCATATATTGCCCCAGTGCGACCTTCATTTATTAACCACTTTTATTACCCCTACAGACATGTGCGCGAGGCAACCGGAATTAATGTTGACATGCGTATAGGCATTCATACTGGTAATGTCCTTTGCGGTGTCCTTGGCTTACGTAAGTGGCAATTTGATGTTTGGAGTGATGATGTTACGTTGGCGAACCATATGGAAAGTGGTGGTGTAGCAGGGTAAGTTAAATCATAGACGACTATACGGAACACGCAATACTATTATGGCTTATTCATATGTACATACATACATGCATACTTATGTATGTATGTATGTATGTAAATACATATAATGTCCTGTAAGCTCGTTTTCTAATGTATTTGTTAACTAATGACCACTTTCAAAATCGTCGCAAAAAAACATTGGCAATTCATTATTCGAAATACATACAACTAAAATTGCCCAATCTTATAATATGCATTCATGCTTACATACATACATATGTACAACCATACATACAATTATTATTATGTTATGTAAACGAGCTCGTAACTGGATTTTTCTTGAAGAAAACCCGGATAAAAAGTCGCTTTTGATAGCCGCTTACGATTCGTTTTCGAGTACTTTTTCGTTGGAAATTGTGGAACGCCTACGAACAGTCGTAAACGGATCGGAAAAGCAGTCGTATGCGCATATACATATGTAAATTACCAACATAATGAAAACCTTTTCTTGCGCTTACAAATTACTACAAACCTCTTTCTATTAAATTTTTTGGTTTATCGTTTACCAGCTTTTCTTTAACTTTTTGCCGAGATTCCCTCGTAAAATATCGAGCCCTAAGCGCCGAAAAAAACGTAAGCGACATATTTTTCAAAAATTTTCTTTTTCATGCAGAAATGCCCGTACAGCATCTAGATGCAATTCTGCATCAAAAAGTAAAATTTGAAAACAATGTCGCTTACGTTTTTCTGGCAGTTAGGGCTCGATATAATGTTCGTAAAATGTACGTTTTCTTGCTGGCTGGGTAGAAAAAGAAAATTTCTATATACATATGTATGTATGTATGTATGCATTATAACACATTCATTACCCTAAATCTCCTAACTGGAAGATACAACTGTTTTTTGACGGCCAGTATTAGCGGTGTTGGTCAAGCTTTTGCTGAAAAGTAAATGTGAAGCCAATAACTTTGAATTAATACACTTTTGAAGTACGTGTCATTTTGAGCTATTGAGCTGTGCATCATGTACATACATATGTATGTATGCAAGTAATTTGTGAATGTGTTATTATAGCATAAAGGCCACCGAAGCGTATGAGCAACATTTTACTGATTGTGATTGCTCTTTACGCATACTTAAATAATGCGATATGCACGTTAGTTGGTCTGGAAACATTTATATACAGTTATCAAGTATTGTTGGTTTTGACGTAATTTTTTTGTTACAGCCGAGTTCACATCACTAAGCAAACTCTACAATTCCTTGGTGACAAATTCGTGGTTGAAGAGGGAAATGGCGCTAGTCGGGACAGTTATTTGGCGGATCATAAAATCGAAACATATCTCATCGTACCCCCAAAGGTATGTACTATATATAGTGTTGCACTAGCAGTGTTCGATTTCAAAGCCATTTCCGATTAAAACGTCGTACATGTTAATTGCCGATAAGCTAGATTCACATACATATACATATGTAACTATGTAGGGCCCAGCTTCCATAGAACAAGTCAGGCAATGACTCGCTTTTTGTTTTGACCTTTTCGAATTTGCCTTTATAAGTTTTGAATAAATGTTGGTGTTGGTTGATTTTTCCGACAGGGTGGTAAGATGATTTATTTTGGAACGAGAATTTCCGTCTGCAAACCAAACTTGACAAGGGATGACGGAAATTCGTTCCAAAATAAATCATTTTGAATAAGTGTTTAAAATGTATTGAGCTATCAGCTTCCTTTCCCAGGCAAAGTTTTAAAAAGATATTTTCGATATAAAATCTTGAAACAAAATGTCGAAATCAGCAATAACAATGTTATAATAGCCGTCATCGATTCGCCATCAGTTAGCGAGTGACGAACCGAACGAACTCAATGAGGTACAACCAACCTCGCTATCGTCTATCCGTGCTAGATACCTTTGTTGTTGCTTTCACAGGCAAAATTTTTCGTTAAGCGACCGGAACTCAAACATAGCAAGCAGCGAAGTGGCGAATCGATGACGGCTATGTTTGAGTTCCGATCGCTTAACGAACAATTTTGCATGTGAAAGCAACAACAAAATTAGCTAGCAAAGTTGGACAATAGCGAGTTTGGGTGTACCTCATTGAGTTCGTTCGTTTCGCCACTCGCTAACTGTTGGCGAATCGATGACGGCTAATGAATAGCCGCAGCAATAACTTCGTTAATTAAAACAAGAGATTTTCTTAAATATGTAGTGCTTATCATAACTATGAAACTCACAAATTGGGCAAGATTTGGCTATTTATTCTATTATTTTTTAATTTTTATTCTTTGACGAAAACTGTATAAATCCAACATTAAATCTTTGCGCAACATTAAAAAAAATCAGCAAACTTTCATACAAATTTCTAGCTTTTTATTTAAATTTTTGTGAAATTTTTTGGGTATGCAGTACCTCATTCAATATTGTATTATAAAGTGGAAGTTTGAAGTAGCTGGGAGTTACCGTTGATTTTTGGCAATCTTTTTTACGATGTCAGTCATTTTCTTCCAGAAAATTATTGACACCTTCAACAAAAAAAAGCAATCACTTTTTCTCATGAATAATAAATTAAAATGTGCATACATATTTCTGTTAATGGATTTGTAAAAGTGTAAAACAGTCAAAAAGTGCAGTTTTTGTATAGATTTCGTATTGAAGCAACAACTTCATTTCTCAACACTGATACGAAATGTAAGGAAGCACACCTGTCAAATTAGAAAATAGAATTTGTTCGGCGTGCAATCACACGACAGCCTGGGCTTGTGTTGTGGATTGTGTTCAGTTCATATGGTTTACACGTATCTTATTTTGACAGGCTGCGTGCCGCACACCACAAGCCCTTTATGTGTTTACATGTTTACAGCAATACCATTCTACTACCGTTTTCGCAAAATGCGATCACATTCTTCCCCTTTCTCCTACTTCCAAAATACAAATCTAGATAAAGGAGTGTCAAATTTTAGCTGTGACAAATTACACAACCTTGTATTATTGAATCATGCATGTGTAATAAGTTTTCCATTTCAACGCGCAAAATTGTTTGTATACACTTTCAAATATCCAAAATTTTACTTTGTGAGTTTCGAAGGCTTCTATAAACGAATTAAAAAGTTCTTAAAAACAAACTTGTGTGTGTATGCGTGTAGAAAACTTGCTACTTCATATCGACGCCTCCAAACCATACCATTATCAGTCACCTTAGGCTTACCCTGGCAGCGGTCTCTAGTCACTAATAGTGACTTTTGGTGGTGAACTTGGATTTTGAGACCATTTGGTATCCAGTACGCTGCCTCACGTCTCTAGTCTCAAAAATAAGTCACTAATTTGTCAGCTGGCTAAGAGCCGGTCACAAAAATAGAAGTATGGAGGAAAAACTTATTTATTTCCATTTAATTAAAAAAAAAAACACGCGAAAATGAAGCGAGGAAATTTGTTCAACAAGAATTTCATTAGAACATAAACCAATATGCTTTAATATCATACAAATGTATTGAAACAATTTTTTTTTTTAACATTAAAATCTAAAGATTGTTAAAAAAACAAAACTAATAAAAAATACTAAATAAAAAAGAAATAAAAAATCCTCCACGGCCGAAGTGGACTTGAACCCGGACCCTCTCGGCTGCCAGCCTAATGCTTTGACCACTCGGCCATTGCGACTCTTTGAACGGCGCGGGCAAAAGGCATACATAAACACTATCACCACACATTTTTGGTGAGCTTTTTGTGACTCTCTCCTTCTGAATACCCAAATCGTCTCAAGTCACAAAAATAGTCACTAATTGCTAATCTCAAATTTAGTCGTCGATATGTATGAACGCCTGGTAAGCATGCCCCGAACACCCTTGATGTGTATGGGCACAGCTGTGCTTAAGTTGTTGGATAGAGCGTATGAGTAACCCCGTTAAGTTTGAGTCACAAAATATAGTACGTACATGTACATGCATGTGTATGTGAGTATGTATAAAGTAAGTAAGTTTCTAACTTTTTGCATATTTTGGAGCGTCTGGCAGAAGTTACTGCCGGCTAGGAGTGTCTGGCAGTACTTAATATTGCTTTGAAAATATTAGTATGTAATATTCTTTAAAATACATATATGTACATACATATGTACGAAAAAAAAAGTTTAAATAAGAAGCTTTATGTCATATTACCCGGGTGTTTTTCGTTTAACCGGCACCGACATACATATCGTCGTTTAAAGTACAAAACCGCGTATCAATAAAATGCAAAACCTCGTATGCGAGGTTGCCAAAATTTTATAGGGTAAAGTAAAACTTGTCTTATTTCAAAACGGTTCTCTCGTTTATCCCTAATTATCTCTTCTTCTTATGTCTAAGTATCGATATTTTAGTATAAATGGTTAAAGGCTTGATGCCAGGAGCTTCTGGTGAGCAAATATACCCTGCTATCCGGGTTATAAAAGCCCCGGGTGACACCAAATTAATCGGGTACCCGGGTAACCCGGGCACCCGGGCATCGTCAGCCCTAGACCAAAGTGACCCTTTTTAACCGTCTGTTAGTTATTAATTTCTCGTAGAATTCGATTGAATTTTATAATATGGAGTTTTTTTTTGTTTTTATACCTATACATTGTCATATGAAATAAACTCGATCAACTTTACTACAGAAAATACCTTATCCAATTGGCGTGCCGCAAGTGATCGAGATATCATCTTCTACAGAGGCCCAGCTTAACGATTGCGATGTTACCGAACGTCTTCTACCGAACCCTGCCCCTACCAGCATCTCGAACGTGAATATAGCTTTAGCTAGTGGGCAGAAGACACCAAATCAAGAAGATGCGGTTTCTACCGGTGCCATTAGCGGACTAAGCGGTGGGATTTTCGCACTTGAACGTGGAAAACTCTCACCTTCGTCCACCAACAGCCAGGACCCAATGATAACAACATCTATGTCTATAAAGGAACTGTCGGAAGAAGATGAAGACGATATAATAGCACAGACATCAAATCCGTTAGAGCAGAATAAACATTGCAGTAATAAAGATTCAAATACAGCACTGGAAGATGCTCAAACTATTGGCAATAAGTCATCGTTATCATTAGCAAGCGCAGTAGCAATGAGCGCAAATGGCTGCAATGGTGGTACGACGGAATCAAGTTGTAATACTAATGTCAACGATGTTAACACCAACAACAATGCTTCAAACAATTCAGCGGCTAATGCTTACAATTTGTCTATCGCTGAGGGGCCAGAAAAAATTCGACGCAAGTTGTCGGTGCAAGGTAAGATTCAAAGGAGAAGTTTAAAGCACAAATCCAAAGCAACACCTTCACAGTGCAAATATTATTAGCTACCGTTTTCTGAATACTCGATACTTCAGATCTTGTGAATACTTATTAATTGAGATTAAGTTATATAAAAAATTCTACATGTCTTTTCTTAAGCTTTTATTTGGTCTAATGTATTTGACATTGTTTTGAGGATTTGTTATAGGCTGCGTTTCTTTATACATGCCAGATTATCCCAATTATGGTTACAAAAAAAAAAATTCTAAACGTTCGGAATGAATAAAGAAATGCAGCCATAGTATTTTCGATTCCTCCAAAAAAATGTGGCCCTCCTATGCTGCAAAATACTTTCGATGTTACACTCAATTCAGTAAAAGTGCATGTTTTTTGCCTACAAATCATTGTCTTACCCACGAATTTCATAATATTTTCGTTTTAAGCAAACGTCTGATTTTCAGGGCAACTATCTCCCCTGACAATTCTTCAAATGGCAGAGAATGTGCATTTTTTGCCTTACTACATAAATTGTTGACATTTTAAGAAACGAACACGGTTTTTTTTCACTGGTTTGCCCTTATTTTAAAATCGAACACGAACAGAAGAAGCGTCAATTAAAAGACGCAATTTTTTGGTAAAAACGAAGACACCATAAGACTTTCGGAATTTTGTTTTTGTTTGTTTTTAGGTCTTATTTCATTTGCGGACAGAAGACGTTCATCAGGCGCCTTTATGGATGGTCGCAAGCTGTCCATACACAGTGGAGAGAGCTTTCGCAGCCATGCTGGTAAGTATGATTTGGCTTACATGTACATTCATCAAAGTAAACTACATCTACATATAAGTTCACGGTACCGTAAGTCTGGAGACCAGCTTTAGTATAATGTATTGTAACATTTACTTCTTTGTTTAAACTGCAAGTATGGATTGGGAAAGAAAAAATTGTTAGTTTTGCCATATTGTGGCTATTTAGTGTAACATGTGTAAGAGAATATCGCACCTTTGCTGCAAGATTAAGAGTGTTCGCTATGCAAAAAGTTGGTTTCAACTGTTACCAAATCGTATCCGTTTGGCCAAAAACCTAGTAAAACTTGCAAGGAGAGAGCACAATTTTGACATTTCATTTGGAGGGGCGAGCAAGAGTTTACAAGCAGGATTGTGGCACACGGTTGCATTTTTGTCAACATTATTTTGAATCAACAAGTTCGTTAAATTTAAAAATGAACAATCTTGTTGCGATTTACTAATGAATGAAGTATGTGAATATTTGTTTATTCAATTAATTTAATTAATTCCAAACATTTCAAAGGTACTCGGCTGAAAAACCTATATTCGTAATCGGAACGCAGTCGACACCACTGTCGATATAGCAAATCCGACAGTGACTTCCACAAATAAATTGAGGCGTAGGTTGAAGAAAGCCAAAATAAGAAGAAATATATGTACGTATAGGTCGTATTTTGTTTTCCACCTGAAATAATTTAAATGCAATCGTGGATGCCAGCTGGCAGTGAAGCTTGCAAATGTTTGCTAATTCCTGTTCTCGCAAAGCTTAGTTAGTTTCTCTCTTTGGGAGAGTAAAAGCATAAACAGACAGCAGCGTTGATCCGGATCAACTCGGCAATTAACTGCAGTTATTCTAGATTAAGTCCGAGTTAATCCGAATCAACGCTGCCGTCTGTTTAAGCTTTAAGATACCTTATACTCCGAATTTTGTTACTCTCTTATTCTTACTAGCTTTTGCATAGCGAACTGAACCATTGTCATAATCAAAAAAAAAAAAAAACAAATTGTTTTTGCAGAAATTACGTGCCAGATATTGTGCTATTTTCTGTAAATATTTCATATCGGTTAGCTATAGCTCATTAAAAGAAAATGTATCTTAACCATTGGAGCGTATGTAAACTGTAAACCTGAAAGCAATTTTTATGGAGTTTTTCACTTCTTGGCTTATGCCACTCTTGCAGCAAAGGTACTATATTTACTTATGGTACAAATTTATTAATGGTACATTAATAATAAATCTAGCTTCCAGACTGAGACGCTAACCAAAAACAAGTGCATGGCATGACGTCCGCATGAGTTTTGTAATTTTGGTTTAAATAGCAAAAATTACCATATATTGTAAAAACATACCGTATACTCTATTTTAGGTCATGTTAATCGCAATCGTCCCTCCTCCAAGATGACAAAATATGTAGAGTGCTGGGGTGCGGATAAACCATTTGCCAATATTGCAGAATCGAAATTGGTTAAAAACATAGGACTAGCGGTAGGTGCGATCCAATAAAATTAGATGAAGCATCTACTTATGTAGTAGCTTCAGTTTACCAGACAAAAAGAAAACGGTCAATCGATATGCATGCTAACGCGTGAGTGCCGTTGTGTGTGTGCACAAAGCAAATGCATTGCCAGCCAAAATTTTCAACTTTCCATCGTAATTCACTTTAAACTGTAAAAACTTTACGAGTCTATTAAGGCGCCCGAAGTAGGCAATGGCAAACTTTCACTTTCCAACCAGGCGGTGCACCATTTGTATAAACTTTGCTTTTGTCACGCCAGCCAATGGACTAGGCATACTGATACAGATACTGCATACTACATGTGTACTTAAAAAAAAAATTGTTTTCTTTACAGTCGCTGTCCTTTTACTGTCCTTTGTTTCTTATTTAGATATTTAATTTTACCCCCCTGAGCGCTTGTGTGTTTTGTTTTGTAGAGCATTGCCATGATTGAATCTAATCTATTGCCACCGGAGCGTAAATGTTTCAATTTCAATTTCTTTGGACCTCCTACGGAGCTGAAACCGTTCACAATGTGGTACCGTAATACACCGCGCGAGGCCATGTATCGCGCCCAACCAGATACGCATTTCCGTTTCGATTTAATTTGCGCGTTTGTGCTTTTTCTCTCAATCGCTCTAATTCAGCTAGTCGTTATTGAAAAGTGAGTTAAATTGCGGTGACAGTTAAGTGAATTTAAAAATTATATACATATGTACGTACGTGTACCCTATTTTGACCCATACAGAAATATAGCTTTGATTGGCTCACTGGCAGCCAGCTTCATTTCACTTGCGCTATTTTTGTACCTAAGCAATATCCAGGTGCCCGAAATGAATGCTTCAACGACAGACCGCAATGGTCCCGGCCAAGTGGTGGCCAGTAGTCGATACCTTCGACTCGCTATTTTCATTATAGTTAATATACTAATATCTGCATGCGCCGTATTCAGCGTGGTAAGTATGCTCTTACTATTCATAATTAAACTGACTTTTATAATAACTAGAACCCGGAATTCTCCCTTGTAGATAAACTTTATGTCCGATATAGACATTGAATCGATAAAGCAGGAAAGTAACTTAACCGACTCACTATCATCTGCAATCAATGGCACATCTTTGCCAGACATCATTTATACTAATCTGCAAGTTCCATTATATACTTCAAATCAAGTAGAGACGGCGCCAATCTATTTATTTTGCTGTGCCATTAGCCTGGCAGCAGTCTCCGCTTTCCTACGTTCTGGCTTCATTCTCAAGCTGATCACCATGATTGCGGCTCTCATATGTCAAATAGTTGTGCTGGGTTTTAGTGACCTATATATATTATTTAATTTGCAACAAATTAGTGCGTAAGTAATAACATACATACATACATATGTATTTTCGTTAATTTCCACAAACTCGAATTGCCTACATTTCGTCGTATGTTTTTTAGTTTGCCAATAGAGCTTAAAGGATTCCTCTTATTGCTACTGGTGGTTGCAGTGTTGCACACGCTAGACCGCCAGGGTGAATATGTCGCCCGCACAGATTTCTTGTGGAAGGCGAAATTAAAGGTGGAGCAGGAAGAAGTGGAAACAATGCGTGGCATCAATAAGGTAATGTGTAAACAAGCAGGTTAATTCGGATAACACATTCCGAAAAATGTTTGCTTTGTGCAAAATTTCAGATTCTTCTAGAAAACATTTTACCCGCTCATGTGGCCACACACTTTCTTCACCAAGACCGCTCAACTGAGTTGTATCACGAGAGCTATTCCTGCGTAGCTGTGATGTTTGCTTCGATACCAAATTACAAGGAATTCTATGATGAGACTGATGTCAATAAACAAGGACTTGAATGTTTGCGGTTGCTAAATGAGATTATTTGCGATTTTGATAAGGTAATAATAATCGTCGTGCTGTAGATAAAGCGATTTTCTTTCAATGAAGGGTGACATTTATATCTGTATTTTTTAGTTGCTTCTGAAACCCAAATTTAGTGGCATTGAAAAAATCAAAACTATTGCAAGCACCTATATGTGCGCGTCTGGTCTGCGACCAGGCAAGGAGGACGGCGCCATGGTAAGAACACTTACAAGCAGAGTACGAAAACAAACCGAACGTATCACTTCACCCATTGCCACAAAAAGTACGAAGTGTTTCTGTTCCTTTTCTCATAATGTTTCCGAGCGCTAACAATAAACGATACGTTTCAACGGTAGCCGAGCACAAACCAAACGAATCGTTTGTTCTTTTGCTCACTTACATGGTTTCGATTGTAGTAAAGGTACTCATCCTGAGCAAAACCGAAGCAATACACGATACAAAAAACAAAAGGAATCATTCCTTTAGTGCTCAGCAAATTAGTGTTGCCTATGTAGGTAGTCGGTCCCTGTAGTGTAGTGATAAGCAGTGCGCGCTTCCACTCCGCAGCACCTGGGTTCAAGCCCTGTTCAAAGCAACATCGCAAAAAAATAAAAAAAATTCTTAACAGCGGTCGTCTCTCGGCAGGCAATGGCAAACCTCGGAGTGTATTTCTGCCATGAAAAACAGCTTCTCATAAAAACACAATCGCCGTTCGGAGTCGGCGTAAAACTGTAGGCCCTTCCGCTTTGTGTGACAACATCAAGGCGCACGTCACAAGTCGGAGGAGAAGCTCGGCCAAACACTAACATATGTGTAAGCGTCAATCTATTATTATTATTATGTACTTAGCAGAATGGTTCAACTGTTTCAGTAGATTCTGAGCCACTAAACGAATGGTTTCGTTTTGTGTTGTGAGCACTAACTTTATGTTTCGTTTGTTTCCCTATTTCTCTGCATTCAATTGTTTTGTTTGCGTTAGCTATCGCGAATGCTAGCATAGTAAAGTTACCGTTCGCAAAATGTGTCCAAGTGATTTGAATCGGTTGTGTTTCATATGAATGAATTGTATGAGCGAAACTGAACGATACCGATACGTTTGCTATTGTTTGTTTTCGTTCTCTGCTTACAAACATACATACTTCTTTTTAAATTCATTTTCGAATACTTTGCCACTGGTCTAAAAACATTATTCACACAAAAATATATTGAATTTTAAGGCTTATTAACCAGCATTTTGCTCTTTCTATGCCACAAATGCAGCTGATGCGTAATTTTGCGGTAAGTTTACATTTACAGCTTGCTAAAATAACTTTCTATCACAATTTGCATTTAAAAGTCCTAGGCGCTTCTATATAATAGCCAAGACTTTACTTGCGAATTTCGGATAAAAGTTGTTAGCTTAGTGTTTTTCTAAAGATTAACGTGTCAGCTGCTGAAAACGCCTGATTTACAAACACACTTCATTTATTAACATACATACATGCATACATATATCAACATACACACATATCACTCCCTTACTTCAATAGTGTCATAACTCAAAAAAGCAAAACTCGAACTTTAAAGTTTTGAATTTACATAAATTTCCATAGCATAAATGAATACATATTTTGTTCTAGTGAGCTATAGTATAAAATCCGAATAAGGCCCCACCTTCACCTTCATATGTTAATGTTTAATGAATGAAATCTATTTTATAAGAAATTTAACATGTTAGGAAATACTTCGTGAGTGGGTTGGTTGAAAAAATCCTGGCCAGGATATATTTAATCGAAAGCATAAAGCCTATAGAATGTGTTAAACAGATGAGTGAAAATTACGATTATTACTTGCCAGGTTAATACCTGCCAACTCGATAGGTAGGCCAGGAAAAAGTAGACAACCCAACCCAAAATTTATTTAATTTCATTAAAAATATCCTGGCCAGTTTTTTTCAGCCAACCCACTCGCGAAATATTTCCTAACACTTTAAACTTCATACAAAATAGATTTCATCCATTAAACAGATAGTAGGTGAAGGTTGTGCCTTCTTCAGATCTTAGACTACTACTGGTAATTTTCAAACAACATTGAAAGCAGGCAGCAATAATTTCTGCATACTTAACTAATTTTTTATTATTTTATGATTATGACACTCTTGTAGCAAATGTGCGATATGTGTATATCTATGCGCACCTTTTTACATGCATACCTGCATATTACTCTAACGGCATTTGAGTATGTATGCTAACCATAGCTGTTATTCACTTATTCCGTCTTTTTCGATTTAAATGGGTTTGATTGGCAATATTCAATCTGACTAACGGCTGCTTTAATGTAATTTCCTTTGCGCTCAATTACGTTTCCGCTATCAAATGGAATGACACCAATCGCTTTGCCGCCAACACTATCAACTCCTGGCGTATACTTCCGTTAACGAAGGATGAGAAGCGCACTGAGGAGCATAATGTCACCATATTGGTAGAATTTGCCATCGCTCTGATGTCAATATTAGACTCAATTAATCGTGAATCATTTCAACGATTCCGGTTGCGTATCGGACTCAACCATGGCCCGGTCATTGCAGGAGTTATTGGTGCACAAAAACCTCAATACGACATATGGAGCAATACAGTAAATGTTGCGTCGCGTATGGATTCCTGCGGGGTGATGGGACGACTACAGGTAAAAAAAAAAGAAAACATAAGCAACTAATAAAAATTAACTTCAACATATTCGCATTATACAATGAAGGGTAAAGTGGCTCCAACATTTAATGAACAATAAAGCTCAATTCGATTGCTAGCTGAAGGGCTCAACCTGGAGCAAATATAAAGGGAAATATCAAAACGCAATATCTCATGCCAATACAAATTACCAACGAGAGTACTTACCGCGAATGCCCATCCCTGCAATTCCCCTAAAGTCCTAAACAAATGTACCCCATTTTCATTGTTGCTACCCAGTAGATAATCTCAGGAGTTAAAAGACCTTCCGAAAGGCCTTCCTGAGAGTCAAGAGACCTTCCACTCTACATTCCTTTCTCCTTTCTTTTTTGTATGGAGTGGCACAAATTTAAGGGCTCCTTCTTTCGCTACCCATGGAAAGAAAAACCTTTTTAAAATACGATTTAATTATATCGGAATGAATAAGTTATTTTTCTCATAATTATTTGTGATATCACATGGTGACGCATTAAAAACAATAGTATCTCCTCCAAACACCCATCATTGATCCAAATAAATGTAATAGAGTAGGTTTAAAATTATAAAATTTTCATTTCAACAATCAACCTACCAAAACCGAAAACTTCAGCAAAACAACATTTCAGCATGCTGCATTAAAATCTATTTTGGTATATTTAAAGGTAAATTATGGTACAAACGAAAAATGTCATACGGCAACCATAGTCAGCACACACTAAAGTAAACAAACTGGAGATTAATAGCAAATTAACGAAAAATAAACTCAATGAATGTTGTGCTTATTAAATTTACGCACTTTGTAGTTGTATACTAGCATTAATAATAAAAATTTGCTATAATAACTCAAGAAGGCCATATTTTCTTTTGTTTATTTACAAACATGTGTTTGTGATCAGCTGATTTTCTTACTTGCAAGTTTTAGCTAGGAAAAATTTTTCCAGCAGAAATTTGCAGCTCTCTTTCACATTTTGCTCTCTCAATTTCCCCTACTTTGCAAGTTTTTTGGGTACGAGAACGCAAAACCAGTAAAAGTTTTCTAAAACT